TTCTCAGAATACGTGTGTTTTATTTTTTTCCACATAATTTTTTTTTTATTTTTGTCCACTTATTTTTTTTTTAAATAAATAATTAATTCAATGCTGGAAAGTGTTTTAAAGCGAAAAACGATTTTTGAAAAATTTCAAACGATTTATGAAAACTTAGTGTTTTATATTGAAAAATAAGCGGGCGTTATATTTGCATTTATACATTCGCACGTGATCATATACAAACTGATATTATTGATAATCATCACTTTACTAATCCTCAATCAGCAAGTCATTTCATCACAAAGAACAATAAATATCACAGTAGTTGCGTTTCATGGCCTCAATAGTCAATACAGCAGAAGATTCAAATTTAAATAAGCCAAAGAGATCAAAATTATCACTTATTCTTTCTTAAAAAATATTTGTGTCGACAGAAACTGGGACATGTTCAACAAATGCAGTCGTACAACTTCTGTAGTTTGGATACCAAACATATGTTCAGAGAGTTGACATTTCTGTACAAACTCTAACAGTCTCTTTGTTGCATCTTTCATCCATTCATTTTATGTACGAGTGGACATTAGATATCACACAACTTGCCAAAAATTAGAAATATCTGCTCACAACTCTGTGTGGAATTTAGACGAATCGCTACCGATAAAGCTCTTCAAGTTGGGTGAGTTGTAGTCGGTTGTCTTGGATAGTCTCGAAAGGATAAGGCGCGCTATGTTCTCAGCTGCAACAGCACTTGTTTCCATGGTGCTGGCTGCATTCTCAAAAGCATTCACATAATAGAGATTATTACCATCTAAAATGAACGGAGCATATTTTTCAGGCGCCTGATAATGAGGATAAGCGCCCCAGTTAATTCTGATCGTCTCCACTCTCACACTGTAAAATCCAATAAGATATTAATAATTAGTAGAAACACAAAAAAAGATAAAACGAGCAAAACAAACTAACTAGACAAATAACTCTTCCTTTTTCCCAGCTAAGCTGTAAATCAATTTATATTCTACCTGAAAATCTTATCCAGCGTGGCATCCAACATAGGCTCACGAGAGAATATCTTATAAGTCACGTCTTTCTCGTCTTGCTTAAGCACACTGATGCTTGAGAACGGTAAATCAGGGGATTCTATTGTCCCCACCAAATCAGGAATGTCACCTAACGAGTCAAGACCAAAATATGCCTGACCACAGCAAATTCGTAATTTGGAATTATTTAGGAACATAATAAGTGAAAACTAAGGTCAGTATATGTATATCAAGAGTTTCTAGCATATGTACACTCACGGGATTTAACAGACCCCTAACAAATGTTGCATGAGTGTGCTGTAATTTTCGTGGAGGTATTGATAATTCAGGATTGAAATAGATACTTGATTCATCCAAAGGTGTTGCGACCACTGTGACTTGACAGGTGTAACTTATTCCTTTTGAGGAGTTCAACTCATATAAATCTCCCAGGTAAGAAATAGAATTTATTTCCTCATGAAGGTGTAATTCAACATCCGAACGGTTTATCAATCCAGCAGCCATCTGCCAGTTCCCTCCTTCGACAGCCCATAAACCACCTCCAGACCCAGCCAAGGAAACTGCACCAGCCAGTCCACTGATTTCCACACTTTGCCCATAGTTTATTCTGGTGATGACCTGCAGAGAAAGAATCTTATATTCAGTTGAAATAAAACAAGTCATGTTTTTTTTTTTCAAGAGAGTTTCAGAACTAATGCCTCACAAGTAAAGAAATAATATGCTATTGTCTAATTTCATCGCATTTGGGTCCATGAGGGAAAACAGTATGTCCTGCCTTCATGGTTTGACACATTACACTCTGTTGACATGTAAGGAAG